AGGCTGCTGCGCTTTCTGTTCTGTTAAGAAGTAATATATGCTTTTTAAACCCTGCGTCCTCCACAGCCTTGACGCATCTCCCTGCTGTTGTAGCTCCCAGGAAAGCCAAGTTAGGCAGGGTGTAGTTGAGGTTAATCCTCGGTGTAGCCTCAGCTGTTACTAAAAAATGAACAAGAAAAATATTAATGTAGACTTTTCATCTGTTATGGCCTTCAGTTACACCCTGAAGTTCAGCTGGACCACTTAAGCACATATCAATCTTTCCTTCTGCCTCTCTGCGGGATCTGTCAGTTTACTGACAGCAAACATCAATTCTCATAAAATCAACACCCGACAGTGACCTACACAACGCAGCAGACGACGCTCCATCACCATGACTAATAAGTCCGTTGATAATACAGTGGGGACGAAGGCCCGCGACCAGAGGGTGGCATCTCTGAGGGCAACAGTGGGCGGTGTGCTAAACTGGAACACTCAACACAAGTTTAGGGCTAATCGTCTCATTGTCTCCGTTCTGCTTGAAAGGATCAGCAGCCATGCTAAGCTCCTCAGGGTACCAACCCTCAGCTGCTCTCTGCCATCTTGCTTTGTCTTTGTTGCTGTTTGTGTTTGCTGAGCAGAGCCAATGTTTTCAGTGGCATTGTTCGGTTATTTGATTTTGTTCACCTTTTCCAATTTAGTTTTTAGTTAATCAGTGTTTCTTCTTTGTCTGAAGCATTTTGTGTTGTTGTTGAGTTGCTGTTATTATTATTAAGAGAAAGGGACAGAGAATTTCTTGTCTCATATTTGTACAGTTCACTGGCAGCAGTGGTGGGAGTATCTACTTAAGTAGAACATTGTAATGCCAATGTAAAAATACTCTGTCACACATAAAATGCTTTTAATGGGAAGCAGCAGTAGTGGAGGCCAGTGGCACTAACTTACCACTGTAACAATGGAAATAAAACTCTGATAGGACTGTGGGAGAGTTATCAGTGAGGCTGATATCAGTTAGACACAATTACAGTAACAGTAAGTAATTTTCCATCTACCTGTTTTGTGCGCACTTTCAATTTCTGCATAAAAACCTCTGAGTGGAAAATAAAAATAAAATAATAATTTAAAAGATGGTACCCTTGGCTGAGTGGCAAAGTGTGATGGAAGCAGATGGAGCAAGTTAATGATGACGTCTATGAAGCATGTAAATTAAAACGTCCACTGAAGCTTCCACTCCATTGGAGACATAAAAAATAGCGGCGGACAAATACCTCGAATCTGTGTGGAGCGATGAAGAGGCTGTAACCTTCCTCAAATGAATACATGAAACAAACATAAATGCCAGATTTCCATCATGGTAAATGGTCTGTAGTTGTCTATAACGTCTTTCTAGTCTTCCAACCACTCAAAGCGCTTTTAGCCTTTTCAGTCAGTGAGGATCTGTCAGCTCAGTTTCGTTAGTTTCAAGTCGCTCAAGTGCACTGTTTTTCACCATGAATCATGGGAGAGATATTCATCTCTCTTTTAACCTTTGTTAGATCCTTTGTCTACAAAATCATCATAACCTCTTTATGGTGATTGGTTTTGGAATACATGGAAAAGGCTTGTATGCTGTGGGAGGGAGAGATGTACTCTCACTGTGATCACATGTTTATCCTCTCTGTTCAAATTGCAATTGAGACAGACTAGCCTTGTGTGTGGCCATTGTGGGCTTTAGCAAACAATGGTCATCTCAGCATGCTTCTTGTGAACGAAACCGACCCGCCGTGTGGTTAATGTAAAATTTTAAACCAGGCCTTTGCCGTATCAAGTGCTATCAAAACAATTTTAATCCAGGAAAGTTACAGAATAGGTTTAGATGTTCAGTATAATCTTCATGAGTAAACCTCTCAGCGATGCCTTTTGGTTATGTTGACTTGTTGCTATTCTGCTGTTTGACATGTAAACAGCGCCTGCTTTGCCATGTCACTGTGATTAAGCCTCTCCACGTACCTCATCAGATCATCTCTGTGTGGAAGTGTTGGCCATCTGCCGATAATCTGGCATAGGATGTCCAGGATTTGTAGAAGTCTTGTACATACATATTCTGGACACTGTCCCATTTCCATGGGACAGCCATGGTACAGTACACGCTATACAGGACATTTTCTTGTCCTGTAGCGCTTGTTCTGTTTCTGTAGACGTGTAGTAAACATGAAAAGCAAATGACGCAGATTCTCCCAGTAGAGCTGATGAGTAGATTCGTTTTATGAAGCACATTGCTTCATAACATTTGCATGTGTTCGAGAGATAAATGATGGTGTTCTTTCTCTTTGGGGTTTTTGTAAGCTTTAAAAGGGGTTCATCCCACATGGGGATCACATGTGAATCCTGAGGCTGGGAACCTAACTACCTGCCCACAGATGGGCACTGAATGCTAAACTTTTGTTGTGGTAGAAACACAACAAAGCCAGAGGCAGAGAGAGAGAGAGAGAGAGAGAGAGAGAGAGAGAGAGAGAGAGCGTGTAGCCTCTAGGGCCTCAGTCCTGTCTGTCACTGTGCCAGAACGATTCGCCCTGTAACTGATCCATGGACACAAAGTGTGCAGGTCATCTGCGACAGCCTGCTTGGTGTGTGTGCGCTTGTGTCTTATGTGGGTGTGGGCGTGTACATCAGCGCATCTGCATTCTGTCTCCCAAGATGCCAGTGGCTGTCAGTCTTCATCTCCTGACGCAGAACACAGAGATGTGTGTAGAGGAAGTGTGTATGCGGTCATTTGCCACTAATGAAATGAGATTCAGGTAGAGACGTGGTGAAGGGCATCATGGGGGTTAGGGACCCACAGGAGCAATATGTTGCCACGGAAACAGTCAATGAGACTTTGTCCACGTGAGAGTGGCTCATGTTGGGCGAGTGAGCGACTCAGAGAGAGAGAGAGAGAGAAAGGAGGGAGAGATACAAGTCGAAGTGAAGCAGTTGCCATAGCGACTGTCCATTGCAGCTGCCTGTAAATTTCTCTCTCCCCAGTGTGAGTGTGTCTGCCTGTCTGATGCACCGCTTTTAACGTCACGGCTCTGTATTAAGTATACAGTGTATGTGTGTGTGATACCCTCGTGGATCACTGGTTCACTGGTTTAAGGTGTGTGCATTTGATTCATATATACATATACAAGGCATCTAACAGATGCTGTAGTGCTTATTTCTTCTTGTTCTTTACCACTGCTCTCTCATATCCCCAGGCCTACACACACACACACACACACAGAAGCCAACAGGGGCTGTCACTGTGCCACAGTTCTTGTGTGCCATATGCTACCGTAGGCTCCTGGCAGGCAGGAGTATCATAGCTCTCAGTCAGCTGGGAGACTGGTTCAAAGGCCAACGAGAGCCCATCAAAGAACCACCCTGCGTGTACCCAGTGCTGTAGTGGTAGACGTAGACGTAAATCTCATGGCCGACATTGACTGGATGCATTCTGAAAAGTTGTGCTTGCATTTTTCCAAAGAAAATGATCATGGTGTCTTCATAGTTTCAATGAATGACAATTCAGATTAACTAAACACTGTACAACTATACAATACAATATCCATATTTTCAGGGTATTTGAAAGGATGTTGAGTTCCCCTTTAAGTAAGTAAACAGTTGTTAAAGTGGAAACATGATTCCAAAGTGATAAAGAGACTCTTTTCTTTCATGTTCAAGAAAAAAATAAAAAAGTAAAATGTCAAACACTGTTAAAAAAGCAGAATAACTCTAAAATATCAAGTATCAAAATACAACTAATAACAAAGGTTTCTCAAGTAAAATCATTTTTACTTATTTTAAGAAAAATAAGATTTACTCTTTAAGGTTAAAGTTCTCGGTAGAGGGATTAAAATAACCTAAACTTTGTGTCATGTTTTCCAATGATAGAAATTACATTTTCACTTATCTTTCCTTTTTTTTTTTACCTCAAGGCAGGATCCACTAACAATTTGTGCCAGTGCAAAATGATAGTAATCCAAAAAAACTGTGTTTTCTAGAGATTCCCCCACAGGGGAATTGACCTAGAAATAGGTTGATATAGCTGTTTCTGCAGCTCAGGGCAGTTGCAATTTGCATTCATGGGAGTTCCAAGCTCCAACGTGCAAACTAAAATGAGGAAATTATGGAAATTCATGAGAGACATGATATATTGAGAGCCAGTGGCCTTTTATTATGTGTTCTTCAACGTTCTTCATACATCGGCTTTATTCCTCGCAGGCTTGGCTTTAATATGGATCCTCATGTCGCCCTGGTGCTTTTTTACCTGCAAATTGTGCTTGTGGTGCCCCGTCACTGTCAGTGTGTTTGCTGTGTCGTCCCAGAGTGCCTCTTTACAAAGTGTTAAAACATCTCTTCTTTTGCAGCAGAGAGCTCTTTGGGGTGAGCTTTGACACCAACACTCACAGCAAAAGAGTTGCTGTGCACATTGTTTTGTCCTCACATTTGTACACTCTGAATTTGAACTAATTACCTGCGCCTGGCCTCGTTTTCATGCTTCAGTTCAGTAAACAACCTTGCACAGGTTGGAACGATTGCACACGGAGTTTCTTGTGCGCTGCGCTTGAGATTGCATCTGTGTTGGTCAGTCTGGGCTCGGTGTGCAATAAAGATTGTTAGACGCAGTGATATACAGGTTAACTCTAATATGCTACACTACCCAGCGGTTTTGTTCTTGCATTACTGCTTTTAATCAGCAGGAAACATTTGATTAGATGCTTGTAGTGGTGTCTGTTGTTATTGCCTGTTGCCGGAATCATTGCCTGAAATCTAAATTACCTCAAGCTCATTTTTAAGAGCTGACATCCAGCTGCAGGGAATAGTGTAGTTCTTAGGCGCTGATACAGAACTGTGTTTTCATCAAGCTGAGCAATTTGCTGTTTGCTCAGTATATTATGGTCTAACACAATGTGTGATCAAAGAGAATATGAGAGACATAAATACAGTTATTGACTTTTTTCTTTTTTTTTGCTCTCTATTCCCTGCTTCCTCATCCGTGTGTGTGTGTGTGTGCGCGTGCATAGATATCCGTGACCGCAGGAAGAAGCCGGTGATGCTGTTTATTCACGGAGGCTCCTACATGGAAGGCACCGGAAACATGTTTGATGCCAGCGTCCTGGCCGCCTACGGCAACGTGATTGTGGTGACCATGAACTACCGGCTCGGTGTGCTCGGTAAGTGACCTGGATGCCTGCTTTATGTCAACAAAATCGCTCAGACACACACTTGGTTTGTACATGCTCCCATAGCTAGAAGACATTTATGCTCCTGAAGTGATCAGGCGTCACAATAATATATTTAATCAAATTTTTTTCGTCCCTCTCCATCACACCAAACACAAAAGCGTCATTTGTGCACACATGCAAGTCAATTTCACTCAGCAGACTTTTCTTCTATTTTCTGAATTGATTAAGTCGGTGATGGATGCACCATCAATCTAATGACAAACAGTGCAGGCGTTGATCACGAGAGCTCCCTTTCTTATGGAATTCATTTGTTGATTATTCCAGTCTAAACACTCTTGATTGTGTTTAGACTGGTGTGTTTTGCTTCCTTTGGAACCCAAGGGTTCAGAAAAGGAACAGAAACCGTGACACGTCAGCCCTCCTCCACCAAAGAAGCACCGTATTCGTCACCAATATTTACACAAACAGTACAAAGAGTAAATCTTGAATTTAGTTTAAAAGGAGCATTTCATGATATCCCATGTATTTTTGTGTCTGTAACTGCATTGTTGTCACTGTGTCTTTAGAAGATCTGATCAGATTTTTCTTGGTGGTTATACACCTTTCCTAATTTTTTCCTGATTACAATTGAAAACTATGTTTTTGTCTGAAATGTTCAGAGATAAGAAGATAAAGTTACTGTAGACCAAAAAGTTACATTACAACATTTGTGTGAGCAAAAACAAAAACTTTTTATTGTTCTAATAATACGTTTTACAAGTTTGTTGTGTGAAAATTTACCCATAGTCCTTATCATCTTTAAAATTAATTTAGATGAAGGTCACAAAATTATATTAGCATAGGCCTATATGTAACACAAGCAGCGAGAGTTCTGCATTTCTTTCTGTTTTAGCCTATCAGGTTAACAGGCAAATCGTCGCAACCTTATCCTTTAAATAGATATATGGTCTTGCACCACCTTCTCACCATGTGACCACCAGGAACAAGGATGCAAATCAGATACAGATCTGGCATTTTTACTGACAGAAATGCACCTCCCTATTCTTCATTTTAACTGCATGCCCTCGCCCGGTGCCTCCAACCTCTGCCTGTCCATTTCGCACTTGTATAATTCATTCCACAAAGAGCAAGGAGTGTAAAAAAGGAAAATGCCTTTACAGAGTGTTTTGGTAGGAGAAGGTATGGTTATAATGCACTTTTGAGTTATTACCACCAGTGAAAGTGAGGCATTTGGAAAGCAGTTAAGGTGGCTTTACAGGCAGAGCGCATTATGTGTGTTGTAACATGTCTGCTCAGGTCGCTGTGAGATCATGCCATAGCCAGGAGTATCATCTGTCACCTTAGCTCTCCAGCACAGGCTCTTCATCCTTTTCCTGAAAATACACTCGACATCTCCTCTTTGTTACTCACTGCGCTCTGTCTCGCTCCATTGAGACCAAGTAATTTAGCTTAGAGAGGAGGAACATGCCTCTAAGGAGGCAGGTGCTAACTAAAGGAAAGTAAGTGCATTAGATATTTCATTAGCTCAAGAGAGAGTGGGAAGCCGTCTCAAAAACGGCTGCTTCACTTTGATTTGTTTTGTTTCAGTTTTAAAGTACGTTACTGTGTTGTTTTTCGGAGCACTTACACAGCCTTTACAATGATGACAGCTTTTCATTTGCATGTAATTACCTAAAGTGTTTGCATTTCAATGCATCTTTATTGAGTTCATCAGCATTTTTGCTGCAAGTGGATAACGAAATTCAATCTAAAATGTGACTATTACCAGAGATCCTATGTGTGACAGGAGCATGCTTCTTTGCTTTTATATTCCAGTGCCCTTACTGAGCAGTGGTAAGGAGTTAAAAGGTCACTTTGTTGTTTTTTTTCCCCAAACTTTTCCAGACAGGTTTATTATTCCTGTCTGTAAAAATAGAATTGTTCTCACCAAGTTCATTACTAAGATCTAGGAACACAACTACACTTTTAAAATTAATTCTATTTTCCAAGGCCCAAGTTAGCCATACTTATTTGGAAAAGAAAATTATTTTATTATAATTTCCTGTCTTGAGTTTGACCTATTGGACTTACCATAGTTGGTCACGCACACAGTTTTTCTTTGCAATGAGGTAATTATTATCAACCTCAGAGGGTATTTCCATATCCTTATGAAGTGGTTTTGAAATTCTGGCTGAACTGTTGCCTTGTTTACAACCTGTCAGAAAACAAGTGTTTCCGACTTCATTGTAGCAAAAGTGCTCTGTTCCCATGTTTTAGGAATTACTTTGGTGAAAATTTGCCAAAGATAAGATCCAAGTTGAAATAATCTGGAAGTTTCCTTTGATACAGTCAAATCAGCTGCATCATATTTGTGAATTGTTTTGGTTTATTATCAGATCTATTGATAATCTAGTTGCTAATTGCCACAAAATGGGCTTCATAATAAGACAAAGTCTTTTGGCGCAACTCAGTCCAACTGTAGACTGTTTGTCTGTGTAGTGAAGTCTTTTTATCCCATCTTGAGCCTAATATGGAGAGTTTTAGATAGACAAAAATAATCCTGTTCAGAAGGAATACAAATAAGTGGATTACTAACAGAAGTTTAGTGTTCAAAGATGATAAAATGAGCCAAAAGTATCAGCAGCAACTCCAAGTTCTTTTTTCTGAATTTGATTAAACTAAGAAAAGAGATAAAGTATTAAATTCTCCCAGATTATTATTATGTCACTGTCTGTCGCTTGATGTGTATTAGACAGGAATGGATCCTATTTATCTTCTCTTGTGAAGAACGTGTACATTTCTTCCCAGTATCTTTATATGTCTCTATCTATTGCATTTTCTTCTTTCACCGCCCCATCTGTGACACTCTCATCACATTCTATGAGTCAAGGAGAAAGAAAATTGAGAGACTTTGTCATTTGTATGCAACGAGAACGCCGTAGCTATCTCCCAAATATGAGAGCCATCCAGTGCAATTTGGCCATTATTGGGAGAAATGTGAGTAATCTTTCACCCCATGCATCCTATATGATGGATGACATTTGCCTTTGACAGTGAGACACGCACAAAGAAGCCACTATGAGGGTTAGAAATGCGCATTTGTCTGTTTAGAGGTGGTGTGCATCAAACACGTGTAGCTGCACGCATTCATGCATATTAATGTCTGCTCTGTGGAAACACTGCAAAGGTTCCTACTGTGTTTGTGTTCTTGCTTCAGCAATCTGACATGCTGATTTGGATGGGCAAAGCAGGAATTATTGATACAGGAGCTCATGTATCAGTGTGAAATACAAACTCAAAACTGTGTGCATGTCTGACAGAAATGGTTATCTTTGCATTAGATTATCTTAAACAAACTTAATGCTGGTCTTTTAAAGCATGTCTTTCCCAAACTGTATCTGGGAAGACATTTATATTTATTAATTTTAGCTGACGCGGTCAAAGCTTCGCAGTGAAACAAGGATCACGCCATTTTGGCGACATGGGGGTGCTCAACGTCTAATTTTACATAGAACTACCAGTTTTCTCCCAATAAGTTAATATACAGCCTATTACTATATACATTTCACGTTTAATGCTGTAAATAAACATGAAAAAAGAATAAAACTTTCAATAAATGTTTTTAAAGTGCGTGAATAAATCCAAAATTGTAACCCTAACCCTGGGTCGTCAGTGCGCATTTGTAGGTGTAGCGTGTATGTGGTGATAGAAGAGGACCACTTGCTGAAGAGACGGAGCCCCAGCTTCACTGGTGTTGTGCCGAGCTGTCTGCACCTCGCAGGACTTTTGGATAATTTATCACCGTTGATGAACCACAGAGAAAAGAAAAGAATATTTTATTGTTTTTAAATAGGGGACTACTTGAAATAGACCAGAGAGGAACCGCGACGTGCATGCAGTTGTCGGCAGCACGGAATGCACGCAAAACTCTGCACAAGACCGGTGAATGGCGGGCGAGAGAAGAGAGAGAGAGAGAAAACAGGGTCTTCAAAAAACCTCAATTTAGCTGGAAAATTACCGTGTAAGTTGAATGAAGATAGACTGCAGCTCTGCAGCTTCTCAAGATTAAAGCGGAGCTACCGTGTGGAAGGCCCGCTAGGGGGGCATTGCAGTTGTCGAGGCGAGAGATAACCATGGCCTGTACCAGAAGCTGGGTGGCATACTGAGTCTGGTAGGGTCTGCTTTTTCTTATGTTGTATAGAGCAAAGCCGCAACATGGTCTGAGAAGGTCATCATTCATGACACCCAAGTTTCTAATCAGCCTGGTCAGAGTGATAGTTGAGGAGCCAATTTGTAGTTTGATATCTTGATGGATAGATTGCTTGTTGTAACTTTCCACCTCATATCCCTGTTGTTCGCACACACAGGACACCTAAGTTAGCTGCTTCATCATCCCAGACTCCAGCTCTAAACCCCCCTTTTCCACTCAGTGCTTTGCTACTTCTGCTGCCTATTTAGATTTCCTTTTGCCTGTGGCAACTTGGCCATCAGTCCGTCCATTCACAGCATCTCATTTGGTGAGTTCCAACTCCAGCCAAGACAGCAGAGTTACTTTGTGTCCTGTGGTACAAATAGCTCCAAGAATCATGGTCTTGAGAGAAGGAATTTGTCTTTACTTATTTTTGTAATGATGAATAATTTCTCTACTTGGCTAGTGCCTTTTTATTGTGAAACATTCAAATTTAGGACTCAAAACTTTTGGGGTTAAATTTAGTCACTGAAAATACAATCTATTTCATATGTAGACTGCATGCATGCATTGTCAGAGCATTTAAGAAAATCAACAAGAAATCAAGCACAGAAAGATATGAATGACAGTGTTGGAGGTCAGGAAAGAGAGATCCATGGTCTGTGTGTGTGTGTGTGTGTGTCTGACTGATTGAGAGATGTGATCTTTTCTCTCTCCATCTCCACTGACACCCTTACTTAACACCCGCCTCTCTAGCCCTGCCAGCGCTACGCAAATGCTAACCACCATGGAAGCATTCACACAGCAGAACATACCTGAC